GAAGACATTTAGTTGAATGTTGTTTGTTTTGTGTGTGTGTATGCAATGAACCTAATTCATATGAGTACGAGAAATTCTTTCTATTGATGAGGCATTGATTAAAAAATAATTTGTTTGATAAAAAAAGACTTATCAGCAGCTCTTGTATGCTACAGTTGTACTTTATACATCAAACTTTATCACATCAAGTGACATAAATGATGCTCTTTTACATATTTTTTTTTTTTTTTTTTTTGTGAAGTGGTTTTTTAATTGATTGTTGATGACTAATTACAATGCTTGTGTATACATTTTTTTGTTACTTATAACCTTGATTTTAAATTTATAATGTACAATTGGTCTAATAATGTGGCAAGTAAGTTAGTAAGATGGTAAGAGCAGTATTTCTATGATGAGCGTGTATGATTTGTGGGAGCTTAATAGCTTATCCAAGTGTGTGCGTAAATTATACTCAGGGTTCTATAATGTAGTGCTTTTCCAAGTGTGGGCGTAATATTTTTTTTTTTGGGTCCTAAAATGCTGTGTTTATATCTAATACTTTAATCTTCATGGTTTTATCATAACAAAACTACTACCTCCGTTTCATATTTTTTGCAACTTTGGGGTATTATTTGTGAGATATAAATTATTTCAAAGTTGCAAAAATATAAAACTGTGGTAGTACTATTTTTTTTGTTACCTTTTCCCCAATTTTCATGTCATTATTTATTTATTTTTTCTCTACACTTCTATAAAAAAAATTACACTAGACAAATTAAATAATTTTTTAAAAAATGTTTATGAACCTGTACGTTAACCATCAATTGAAAAAAATCTTTTGTGTTTGATGGAAATTATTACGTAGTACTTGTCTATGTTATGAAGTATTTGTTGGAGCTATGTTATGAAGTATTTGTTGGACACGACTAAAATCGTGACAAACACGGAACACGTGTTTGACATTTCAGTGTGCACTAGAGTTGAAGGAAAAAAGAGGACACACATGAAAGGAAAACACATCTTGTTCAATGATCACCATTGATATAGAGATGGGAGTAAGTATTACCCACTACCAGATATGGGTAATACTACCCAATACCATTATATAATTTTTTAATTTTTTTTTCTTTCCTCCCCCCTTTTTTTTTTCCTTTCTTCTTCATCTTCTTCCTCCTTTAAACCCTTTATCCACCTCCATGGATAGCTCCTATTGTCTACCAAACCTCCGCCCACCACACCTTCACCTCCTACAACAAGAAATCTACCCTACCAGCTACTACCTTGCAACTACCTCCGTTAAAAATCATTGGAAACCACCCAAAAAACATAACCCAAAAATGAGAGACACAAACTTATGGCTCTAGCCATTAAAATCGGTGAGTTTTATGCTGGAAATCGTTGAGTTCGGTCGAAATTGACAACATTAGCCATTAAAATCGACGAGTTCTCTGCTGGAATCGTTGAGTTCGATCGAAATTGACAACGGTACCTGTTTGTCGGTGCTCAGTTATTACTAATTTCTATACTGTTATTATTGGTTTGTGTATTGTTATTCTTGGGTTGTATACTGTTATTCTTAACTTGTATACTGTTATTGAGAGGAGAGAAACTACATTTTTACAACATGGGTAAATATTTTTGTGAAAATACATTTTTGCCCCTGGTATGGGCCCAACGAGTCCATACCTGGTAGTGGTCTATCACTACTCATAGAGATGGAGAGAAGAAGACCGCTATATATTGGAGAATCTACCGAGTAAAGAATTAAAATAATAAAAGTAGAGGTGGACGTCATGAAAATTTTGAAGTTTTTGTAATATATAAATTTATTAATATAACCTTAAGTGACGTATTAACATGTCCCTGTACCGTGTCCAAATATCAAATAGAGTTCCCGTGCCCTAAAATTTTGGAATTATTGGATTGGACACTTGGTCATGTGTTTGTGTTTGACACCCGTTTCAAAATCCATGTAAGATAGAGTTGGAGTATAATGTTTGAAAACATAATATACTCCAATCAATTCAGATATTGATCCAAAATAAGGCCACTAAATTCAAATAAATAAATTCAGGTGGAAAGATCATATAAAGTTTTAAATTCAACAGCTTTAAAGAGATTTAAATTATTGATCTGGTGACTTTAGTCCTATCTGTGGGGACTTTGTGGTTGCTTATTTATGGATTGACTCAATCTCAAAACATTATTATACGCTGATGTTAGTGGTGTATGGTGAATCAGGAAACTCCGGCTTAAAGTTATGGGGAGGCCGGTAACTGGTAAAACCCTTAGTCCATTAACTCAACAGTACTACGTTGGCGGTTTGTCAACTTGTCAATCCAAAACATTATTAGCTGTGTTGGAGAACTTAAATTCAACAGTAGAAACAAGTTAATGTTTGTCTGATAATTTTTTTTGTCTGCTCATTAGTTTTGTTTCTTATGAGAATTGACTAAGCTTATGTTTGCCAAGCATTATCTTTCGTCTCCCCACCTAGTTTAGAATAATTACTCTATCCCAAAACAAGTACTAATTATTTGTATCAATCGCATGAACATTCATTTTATACCTCAATTTAAAATTAAAAATCATGGTTATATTGTAAATTGAATTAGTAGCTTGATAGTTAAATTGAGATTGTAGAGAACATTTTTTTTCCTTGTATTATATTTATACTGCCTTTATTTTCAATTTGTTGGCACTTTGGGGGATGTTTAATTTCCTTTTTCAAAAGATTTTTTTGCTCTCCGTCCTAATTTTTTTTTATTAGTTGATATTTTAAAAGTATTTTACGAAACAAATCTAACAAGACTCAATCTCTATCTCACTCTTAGAATACCATGCACAGGGTACTCAAGGTTTATAAAATTCATGTTATTTTGATCTGAGTATTATTTCAATCTATATACGAAGTATATGTTATTTTTAAACAACTACTTGTTATTTTATACGTGAATATAACTATGAAGTATTTCTTTTACTCTACTTTGATTAGAAATTCATCGCCCTTTTTCTCGATCATCTTCCTCCCACACTCTCTCTCTCTCTTCCTCTCAAGCTACCAACTCAAAATCAAACACTCTTTCTCTTCCTCTTTTCTTCTTTCAACTATGGGTTTCCCATAAATCAACCTCTCATACTCAATCTCTCTCTTCATCTTAGAGTCTCAGCTACTCCAACACAAAATCAAACAAATTTTCTCTTTTCTCTTTTCTTTCATTTTTCAAGGTTTTCTAGAAATCAGTGGATCCGAAGCCATTGAGGGTTCAAATGTGTTCATGTCTAGAAATTTAGTACCTCTTGAAGTGTTCAATTCTCTTCACGATGCCCTAAAATGCAATGTTGCTAATGTTGTTTTGACGTAAACTTCTTATTATTTTATACGAAGTATATGTTATTTTTAAATAAGTACATACTCCCTACGTCCCTTAATACAAAACCTCTTTCTAATATTTATTACTCACATAATATAGAGAAAGAGACTTTTAATTTAGAGATGTAGGGAGTACTATTTTATGTAAAATAGCATGAGCTAAGGTTGCGTTAAATAAGTAAATAACATATTGTTTTAGCAAAATAACACAAGATTTAAGCAAAATAACGTAAAATTTGGGCAAAATAATTCAAGCATATTGAGTATAGAGTACCATGATCCATAGCACTCTAGGTGTATATAATACTAATTTCTTACAGGAGTTCACATGACAAAACACACGCGTAAGTCAGTGTATTTAGTGTTTATATTTATATGATTTTCTAAATTTATATAATTTTTAGTGTTTATTTAATGTTATACGTAGTATGTAGCTCTAAGAACTATGTATTTGTATACTCCATCCGTTTTTAAATACTTGTTCCAGTTTCCTTTTTCGGCCGTTTTTAAATACTTGCTTCATTTCCTTATTTAGAATGTTTTTACAATATTTAAGTCATTTCTCTCATTTAGTGAACCCAACCTAAATCATATTTTGTTAATTTCATATTCTCTCTCTTTTAATTTTCTCCACTACTTTTGTTTTTTATAAATTTTTTTTATATTCTCTCTCTTTCAATTTTCTCCACTACTTTCCTTATTTTTTTTTTCTATTTTGTTTTTTTATATTTTGTTAACCTTCATATTATATTACTTTCTCCAAAGTCTCTTAAAACTTCGCCATGGAGAAATGGAGCAAGTATTTAAAAAACGCAGAAAGTAACATTTTACTCACTTTATTTAATATTTAGATAGTCTTTTCAAGTATCATTAAATAAGGCAAGTAGGTTTATACTATTCACACGTGCTTACTGCTTAAAGTACCGTATTTATTATCAATGGATTATTGCTGCTGCTAAAATTTAATTCATTCTACACATTGTCCCAGAATATGTAGGGTATATTCTTGGTTAAAGACTTAAAGTGTGTTGCCATAAGTTTTAGTGATTACATAAAATCACAAACCATGGTGATTGGTGAGATAGGTGATTGGTGACATGAGAAGTTAATTTGACATTTACCTTGCCATTAGAAATGTGAATGAACTTAATCCATACGTGTATTTTGAAATCTATTCCGTTGGAGGTAAAAGGGAAAAGTATTTGTTTAGAGGTGTTAAGTTTATATGACCTTATAAATGTATAATTAAATATAGTAAAAAAAAAATGATATTATAAAGCTTTATGCTTGTATTAAGGTCTTGTTCTCTAATTTCCTTCTCTCATAAAATATTCATTTCAGTTCAACTTCAATCAATTCAGCTCAGCTCAGTTCAATTCGGTATATCAGAACAGACCCTAATACTTATTTAACAATATACTTCATGATAAAATTCATTGTTAATAAAGTCATATATTATAAAACTACGGTCAAAGTTTGTTTATGAATATTGAAAAAAAAAAACTATGGTTATGTTCACTTTACCTTATTATTTTTTAAACCGAAACTATTTTTGTTAAACTGTACTTATTTTTAGTAATCTAAATAATTTTTTTTTTATTGATTCTCTATTATATTTCTTCGTTAAACTTACCGATATTTACTAAATTAAAATTATTTTAATGAATTAGTGATTATAATTTTTTTAAGGCAAAGTAAATCGGGTCTAACATGTCACGTATTTGGAGACAGAGAGAGTATGATTTGTTTCCTTCAAAACCAAAAAATTGAAATAGTGGCAAGTACTTTGTATATGGTTATTGTACCGGAAAGAAAGGGCAAGTTAACCAACCTAGTATGATACTACTATAGGAGCTGTAACCAAATCATGCCTTAGCGGCTTAGCACTGATACAATCTTTTGGTAAATTAGGTTTTTTTAAAAGTTTCGGTTATAGAGTCAAGATTGCTGAAAACAGAATTTCATTAAAATGTTTTTGGTGCAAATCTCTCTGGAATTAACCTGCATCTGTCACGTGCAATTATCGTACTGATGTACGAGTAATAATATTTATCAGTTTATCATCGATCCCTTACCATTTAACGAGAATGTTGTCCGTAGCCTGTTTTGAAACTTATTATCAGTATTCACTATTCAGTGTAAGTTGATAGACAGCTATGCTGTTTGTTAGCAGTGACTTTTTATTTTTGTTTTTAACCGTCGTTCTTCTCTATTTCTTCGATGCAAATCCTATAATTTGCCAATCGATGCAATAATTTCCTGGTATATGGTCTTATGTACTGTTATAGGAGTGCTAAATGCTTCTATCAACAGTGGTATGGTTCGTTTTTTGCTACTCGTATTATAAATGCTCTCCCTTAACTTGAATGACTGCTGGTCTGCTGGGCACAGCAACAACTAGAAGCTTGTCAATGATAAGTTATGAATATTTTATTAGTGGTTTTGGGTGAACGAGGTTAATGTACAGAAACACCAGCTTAACGGGTGTTTTTTCGTGCGATTATGGTTCACGAAAATTCCATAACAAAGTTTTGGTAATAGACTTGGAATAATATGGTTTAGCCCTAACTCTGTGACCTAGAGAGATATGTATGTTCAAATTCTGAGGGTAGAGGATCTATAGTAGCCCCTCAGGTTTGCCTGTATGATTGTATATTACTTTTAGATTCTGGATGACAGCCTGAATCTACTTTGGATATCACATGAATGAGAAGTTTTGCTTAAAATCTGAGAGGATTTTACATGCCATGCTTAGGTGCCTAATGATCCACATCCTTAAGTTTAATGGTTGATGAGCATGTTTAACTAATGAACTATCCGGTTTAGTCTTAGCCATTCGGCAGACACAATTATGCTATTTTGATAGGCAGTGGCTCGTCATGTAGGTCCCTAGTGAGTCCTGCTGTGCAAAAGTGAGGAAAACCCCATCCCTCCGTTTCTTTGCCATCTCCATGTCCTCATTAGGACCACATATAGGGTTTTCCCTCTTTCTACGTATAAATGTATAATACATGTACGAGGTGTTCCCAGATAGCCAATTTTGAACAAACTCCCCCCCTCCCCAACCCATGCTAAAATGAAATAAATAACTAAGGAAATAGAAACAACATAGCTATGTTTCGTGAAATAATGATTGAACCAACTCTCTGTTATTGAATAAATGCATGGTTTTGCATGCATATATACCCCTAGCTCCCAATAACCTAGTTCCAACGCCCAATAACCTAGTTCCAACGCCGCATGCACGCGCACACACACACAAAGATTTCCATAGTTCACATCTCCACTCCTGTTTTTTCTCTTGCGATGGATCGCCAGCTCAATCACAAGAAAAGCCTTTCTTGCTTCTTTGATGAAGATTTTACAGAAGATCAATCACCCAGCTTTCAACACCTCTCTAAGCATAACCAAAATTTTCTTGCTCGCCTTCATGGCACTCATTTCTACCCTGATACCTCACCGATGATGTCTCAAAGCCCTGAATCATCCTGGTCTCCCTCTCCTTCGTTAACCCCCTCTCATCCTTCTCTTCTCTATTGCTGTATCTCCTCTCTCCGTCGTGATGGTGATATTTATTCTCTCACTGTATTCGGAGACCTAGTCTTAACTGGTTCAAGTAGTCGTCGAGTCTATGCATGGCAGTCGCTTGACTGCCATGCAAAGGGTTACATACAATCTAGCTCCGGCGAAGTCCGGGCCATGCAAGTCTATGATGACATGCTCTTCACTGCACACAAGGATCATAAAATTAGGATATGGAACATGAGAACTTGCAGTGGTAGCTTTAGGGCTAGAAAAGTCCTTACCCTACCTTGTGCTAGCCATTTCAAGAGTTTCATTTGTAGGTCTGTTGTCCCACACCATAGGTTAACTGCTAATAAGCCAATTACACCACAACATAGGGATATAATCTCTTGCATGGCTTTTTACTATGTTGAAAGTATTTTATACACTGGCTCATTTGATAAAACTATCAAAGCTTGGAAGTTAAGTGTAAAGAAGTGTATCGACTCGTTTGTAGCTCATGGTGACCACATCAATGACATGGTGGTCAACCAACAAAGTGGCTACCTTTTTACTTGTTCTTCAGATGGAACAGTAAAGATGTGGTTAAGGGTTTATGGTGAACACAGCCATGTCCTTATTAAGGTCTTTAGTTTTCATACCTACCCTATTTATGCCTTGGCTTTAGGTGTGTCACCATCACAAAGGAGTTTCTTGTATTCCGGATCTTCTGATGGATGTATAAATTTCTGGGTGCAAGAGATTTCTACTCACTACAATCATGGTGGAGTCTTAGAAGGGCATCAGTTTGCGGTTCTTTGCCTAGTGACCCTAGATAATTTGGTGATCAGTGGGTCTGAGGATTCGACGATCAGGATTTGGAGGCGAGAGAAAATAAGATTTACTCATGAGTCTCTTGCTGTTTTAGAAGGGCATAGAGGGCCTGTGAGATGCTTGGCTGCTTCTTTGCAGGACGAGCTTGTAACGAGTTTCTTGGTGTATAGTGCTAGCTTGGATCAGACATTTAAGGTGTGGAGAGTAAAGCTCTTGTGAGAAGTGAAGAAATCCCCTGGCCGCCATAGCAATGGAGAAGATGATATGGAAGATACAAATTCTGCAGCGTGTGAGCCTAGCCCTGTGCTGTCTCCTTCATGGGTTAAGAAGAAGCTTCAATGTCGTAGTCTTAAATAGTCCGTTTAATTACAAGTTTTCAGGTTTTATTTGTAATATTACTAAGTTGGAATATCATCTTAGGATATTCAAATAAAGTAGATTATGCATGTTTATGTAATCAGTTGAAGTTACTTCAGCAACGAACATGTAGTACACTAGTACGTATGTATTATTAGTCTATTAAATTATGTTCTATTCCATGTAATTTTGCACCATTACATACCAATTTAAGTTATCAATAAAAATAAGTTTTGTTATCTAAAAACAATGCAATGACCATGAAAGAAATTTTTGAGAAATATAATGTTTTCACCCTTACCTTCGAAATCTTTGCAGCATACTTAGCTTACAGCTCGCAGGTGACCATCCTCAGGAAAACATATGCATGCAAAGTATTATGGGTATAAAACCGTCTAAAAAAAAACTTATTTTGTCTAAACTTATGTTAGGCTATCAATTTTGTGCTTGTTTGTCGAAAAACCGACGTAAATGAAAGATGCAGACATAGAATTTTGGTACTAGTCCATAGTATTTTACCTTGATATGATGTCGGTAAAATCTCTTAAGATCCCTAAATTTTTGTGGTAGTTCATATTGGCTACGTAAGTGATCAATCAATGAAATGTAAATACAAATATTGAAATATACAATAACGTTGTGTGTTTAAAACTTGAGCAGCTTTTGGCAGATATCACAAGTATAATTCGTATATAATTTCAGTCTTTCTGAACATATCTGCATCATATAAGATATATAGGGATGCAATTTCATCATGACTATATGTATCAATTATCTATATATCTATCTATGTTCGTGCTTTCGCGGTCGTCCTTAAACCTTAAGTCAATAAACTTTATACATTCTCATAAATTGATGCTATTTTTTTCAGAAAAGTCAAGGTACGTACTATTCAAATTATTCAATACACAATTGAGCTGTTAACCTATTCATTGCTCAATGAAAATGCTATCTGTATGTATATTGATTTGGAAACGAACTAAATAAAGCACGTACATGTACATCTATCAATTATACTTCATATAATGTTTGTTAGGGCATTTATCTAATTGTTAATGCTTAGTATATGCTATATTTGATAAGTTGAAAGTATGTGAATTCCCAATATTATATATATTAATATATATTAATATGTTATTATGTGAACTAATGTTAGTAGGACATTTGTCTTGATTTGTGCTCGTATTTCCTTAGTATAACTTTATTATATTCTGTTATACAAAATAGATATGTTAATGGTCAATGATGAAACCGGAGTTAATACACATTGATATGTGCTAGAAAATAAACTTTTCTTAATTGCTTAAAATAAATTTCAAATTTTGTATGTTCACCTAATTAATAACAAACTAGTGTGTTTGCTTCAAAAAAATAACAAACTAGTGTGTGGCCCGGGTGATGCCCCGGGTTGCTAGTTTGTACTTGTTTAATTTGCTAATCAAATTCGACTGTTTAGATAGTAAGACTTGTTGATTTTGAGTTTAGGTCTTGCTGTAAATATTTTTTAGTTGTCAAACTCAATCATTACATAATGGAAACAAATACTTCCTCCGTTCTTTATTACTTGACCCGCTTTGACTTTTACACTATTCATTACCCCTCCTTTGACCGTCTTTTGTAAATAATATGTAAGGAAAAATATATTCATGTATGATCTTTTTGGATTCATCTCGATAAGTACTATCATAATATATAACTTTTATAATTTTTACTTATGGATAATTTAAGTTATTGATCGTTAAAGTTTTGCATTGGCAAGCGTGATAAAAGAAACAGGTCAAGTAAAAAAGAACAGAGAAAGTAGTATAATAAGACACAAATTAACTTATCTAAGTAAACTATAATTTTGTTGGATAAAAAAAAACACAATTAATAAATGGCTAAGATGGTAAGACTCTTAACTTTTTAATATAGAAGTATAGATATGTCAAAATAATTTATTTACTGCACTTTACTACTTTTTACTCCTCCATTTTTTTCTTCTCCTACGTCTAGATTTTTACTGTATTTATTTTAAGTTGCAGGGTATTTAATTGTGTTCATTGTATTGGCTTGTCAAAAAATAATGACATTAATTAATTTGCATTTAGTCTATGGTCTTCACTTTTAAAGCTCTTCTCCTATTTTTTTTTTTTTCAACTCTTCATTAAAAGTAAAAAATTTTGTCCAAAATTTAATTTTTGAGTGGGTAGGTTTGTTGTATTCATAAATAATCTTCCCAAATTTTCAACTTCAAGTCACTTTCACATTTTCACTTTGTGTTTGAACCAATATCTTCCAACAACACGTACGTTTTCACTTGTGTTTGAACCAATATCTTCCAACAAGCTTCTAGCTATCCTAACAATAAACAAAGAAGGCAAGTTCAAGTGGACTCATAACATAATATTATTTTCGGGTTTTTATTTTTAATTTTTTTATTTACGATTTTTTTTTTTTTTTAATCCAGTCATAAAATATGATGTATACAACATTTGATTGACTTGTTGGGTATTACCCTCTAAAAACTTTAACCGATTAAACTACCTAGATAATGTACATGATCTTCATTATGGTGATGTGGGCATATGAAGTAACTTTTGGGGATAGCTAGTCACCTCTACATTCCTAGCTGCATGTCTATAACATACTTTTTAATTATTGCTGTATAATTACTAATGTTTATTTCCTCCTTGCCTTAAAAAGTCACTTTTTACAACCCAATTCCTTTAAAGTCACTTTTTACAACCCAATTACTTTACTCTAGTAGTCTAATCTACATTTAATAACTTGTCCTAATCTTTGAGCCAGGCCAAATTAAATATGAAACTAAATTTATTTATTTATTGTATTATTTTTTCCCAGAAAAACTAGAAACTTTGATATGTCTACTTGTTAACCGTTAAACATTCTTTGGTTGTTGACAAACACATTGATAAAAAAAACCAAATTTAACCTAAGGTTTTGAAAGTTGATGAAAACCTTGATCAATAACCAATGCAAATTTATTGGGTGTAGTAGCAAAGTAACCCAATAACTTTTACTTATAGCAAATTAACCCCACAACTTAATATAATTGTGCAATCAAAACCTATACATCAAATTTGAGCATCACATTAAAATATATAAATTTCATAAAATATACTCTAATAAAAGACAAAAAAAAGTTAAAAAAAAATATTAATTACATCCAAAATATTGTGCATATACATTATCATAAATATTAAATACATACTATAAAATATAGAAATTATGGACACTGAAATATGACAAAGGGCGAAAAAATTAACGGAATTTAGCAAACCATCATACTTGATTAATCTCTTCAATTGCTCACATTTAATTGAAATGGTAAGAAATATAACGCATGTATAATACTCTTAATGCTTATTATTAATACAAAAAATTAGCATGTTTTGATGAATTTATTGTTAAATAATGATGCTTAGATGTACGTTGCACGATATGTTAAGTTTTGGGGTCCATTTGCTATAATTAAAAGTTAAGGGGGTAATTTGAACATAGAGTTAAAATCTTGGTGCTAATTTGCTATATTTCCCCAAATTTATTTATTTCACCTTATAACGAAGACCTTGATCAATAAGCAAACTGGAGTTCCAATGGGAAAACTATACAAGTACTCTTTTAGAATAATGAGCATGCATGCATTGAAGAGAAGAATTGATCGATTTATATATACTCTATCACATCCCCAGCATGAAATATTCCACTTTTTTTTTCTTTTTTTTTCTTTTTTTGAAACGGCATGAAATTTTTCACTTAAAAATGGGGGTGGATGACATTTAAATTATGACATTTGTGTCACACTGGCTCTAATATCATGTTAAAGGACAAACTCAACCAAAAGTTTAAGTGGATAATTGAAGCTTAAGATCGATTTACATAATCTATCAATTTCAACCTTGACTTAATTTTTTAAATAGCCTTCAAGGAAGCACAAATAATGTATTTGTATAAAAACTTATATAGACAATAATGTTAAACTATTAATCAAAACTCATGTGCTCCCATGCACCAATTAAATTAGTTTTTTTTTTTCGTATTCTTTCACGAAAAGGAGAAGGATTCAGACCACATCTCAACTCTACATTTATAGTTTAATATATATTGGTCAAGTACTAGAAGTAAGGAAAAAAACAGGTGAAGAATTTTGATCAATTTTTAATCCCTTAGAATCGTAGCGGGAAGGATTTGACTTTGAGACCTCAAGTTTACCATGTGAATGACTCACCTACTATACCGTATGAATACTTTTATGACTCTTGGTCGAACAAATTAAACTTTTAACCCCACCTATTAAAAAGAAAATAAATTTTACAGTAAAGACGAAGAGACCAAAATCCAGTGAAATATAATAAATTAATAAGGTACTTGTATATGAATTTGAATTCGTCAAAGCTAAGAAAACTACAATATGGACAAGTATTCGTTTGTAAACTACGAGATATATATGTAGGGTATACTCTTATTAATAAATGCAGATGATTCATTGATATATACTCTATCATTATCAGAATCATCATAATGGCTTTCTTTCATTTAGGTGCCTTTTCCGGATGTCTACAGTTTTAACCGTTCCAAAAAAAAAAAAAAAAAATAGTCTTAAAGATTCTGTAAAATGGTAAAAAACAATACTCCTTCCATTCCAATATATAGTTTTTGTTTGTGTTTTTAAAATTATTAAAAAAATTAGGAGGAGAAAATGGATAAAATACATAAATAAAAGTAAAAAGTACAATTATAGTCAAAAGTTAGAGAGAGAAAGTGGAACATAGTATAAGGTATGTGCAAAATTTAATGGTAATGTAGGAAGTGTTTAGGGTAAAAAATACCCCAACACGTAGTCTAATCTCATAGTGACACGTGTCCCAATTAAAGAGTGACACATGTCCTTATAGGAAGATGATACGTGGTAACCCAAAGAGCATCTGAATGAGATAAAAAGGGTCTCCTTAATTACATCAGGAGACCTGAATTCCAAGAAAACTGCAAAATGGGGCCCTCAAATGACACATGTTCTTACCCGATTGCACAGCCAATCAAAATCCACCTTTTTAGGGCACAAATTAAACTCTAAAGTGACACACATTCTCACACTTATAAATACTCTAATCATTTATAATGGGAGGGTAGGATTAAGGGTCTGTTCACATTTACTGAACTGAGTTGAACTGAACTGAACTGATTGGAGCTGAACTGAACTGAACTGAATTAAGCTGAAATGAATATTTTATGAGAGAGGGAAATTAGGAGTTGAATTGAACTGAACTGAACTGAACTAATTGGAGCTGAACTGAACTGAATAGATCAAAGCTGAACTAAATTGAAATTAAGTAAATGTGAACAGGGCATAAATACCCTAATCATAAAATGTTAGTTCATGAGTTTTAAACTTCTTTTGCTTTAAAGGGCAATTTAACAATGGGGTTCACATAAGATGATCGGCACTTCCAATCAGTTGGTGGCGAGTTTTGTGTCCGATATATTTTCTCCGTTTTTAATTACTTGCAACACACTATTTTAATTTGGCACAAATTTTACGGAAGATATTAAATTATAGAAAGATAATTTAGGGTATGCTCACATTTACTTAATTTCAATTCTGTTCAGTTCAGTTTAGTTCAGCTCCTGATTTCCCTCTCTCCTAAAATATTCAGTTCAGCTTAATTTAGTTCAGTTTAGTTCAACTCCAATCAGTTCAGCTCCAATCAGTTCAATTCAGTTCAGTAAATGTGAACAGGCTCTTAATTGATAAAATTTAAATTTTTCGGTTTATGACTTTACGTAATAGTCTAATCACTTTAATGATACAATTTGAATTTTAACTTAGTAATTACAGTCAACACATTTTTTTTCTTTTTAATGCTAAAGGAAGTAAAAATGGTGTCTGAAAAGAAAATCATGAACAATACTTAACAATCCAAAAATTAATGATACAATATATATTGTTCTACATGTAATAACCAAGATAGTTTTAATATTCTTAAAAAAAAATGTGTTGATATTTTTCGTAATATAAACGAAGTATGTACCGAAGAGGCGAAGAATAACACATAACATCATTGTAAAAACAGTAAAAGTACCATGATAATCTGTAAAAAAAAAAAAAAAAAAAAAAAAAAAAATGTACGTAGATAGTGCTTAGAAACAAAGACTGAGTAATAAATAAAGAACATAAATATCATTTTAAAAACACATACTAATTACTATATATACTTCATACTTCGTAACATCTATCTATACTTAGTATTTATAAACATAAACCATCATCCCTATCACATCACTAAGAAGACCATGGACACCAGCAAAGGTCGTGGTAGCAAAAGTTCGTTTTTTTTTATAATAAAAAAATTGAAGGCGACATCAACATAGTAGTGCAACTCAATCGACTTCAACAAAGTGCGACTTTCCAATCGTAACGTTCGTGTTACTGCCGTTACGATTGCGGGAGGGTGTTAGGAATATAGGAAAATATATTATTCTGATATATTTTCCATATACATCTCATAATATTATATTTAGGATAATAATATATCTTAGTGATATTCTAAGATAGATTTATGGAAGTTTATATGATACAGTTTATATTGTGTAGGTTATCTTTTGTAGGCTATAAATAATAGTCAAGATCATCAATACAATTCAAGTTATTCTCTCATAAATAATTTGTTATTATGTACAACTGCATATTTACCTATTCATGTTCAGATACGAAGAAATATACCAGGAAGCATTACGTAGAATAACAATAATCAAAAGTTGTTTGTTTGTTTTTTTTTTTTTTTTTTTTTTTGGGGGGGGGGGGGGGGGGGGGGGGGGGGGGGGGGGGGGGGGCTTGTTCCTAGCTTGAATTTGTTGGGCTTTGCCATCTGTTTGTTTAGTGCTTCCTAGCTATTTTGGTTGGGAAATAATTTTTTTTATCCTCACATAATGAGAAAATTAGGTATAGTAAGGGTCTGTTATCTTCAACTTATTTTCAGTTCAATTCAGCTCCAATAAGTTCAGTTCAGTTCTTATCTTAATTTCCTTCTCTCATAAAATACCGAGTTTTAGTTCAGTTCAGTTTAGTCAATCATAACAGGTCTTAAATTCGTTCGAAAAATAACATTCTTTAAATAATTCCTTCTATTCATTCGTAACATGAGTAGATTTTGTCAAAGTTTATACTCCATATTACTTAGTGCGTACATTGTACGTTTATATATTCTTTTTTTTTTTTTGTATGTTGATATACTACATATTTTTCTTGCAATAAAAAAAACGATCTTGCTAACGAGCGCCCCGGGGCGTTAGATAAGGATAAATTATATTGGTTGAAATGGTATTAAGTTAGGAATTCATGACAAAATCACGCGTCATTTGATGTAATTAATGTTAATTTTACTCTAATATTTGCACTTTAATTCTCTTATCTAACGCTCCAGGGGCGCTCATTAGCTTTTGCCAATTAATAATGACCTTAAATTTTAGACATAAATTATTTGTAGTATATCTGTATATGGTGTATATATAAGCATCACACAATGTATACTTTATTTTCCTATGTTAATGGTTCATTGACTATTAGAAATAAAGGTCGAACAACTCACGTAATTATTATGAAATAATGATTAACCAACTGTTTGACGATGATTAAATGCATGGTTTTGCATGCATAAATCCTCCTCCATCCATTGCCCTCAAATAACCCTAATCCAAATTCCACTCACTCAAACAATTTTGATCTCTTACAATGGAAAATCATCAACTCATTACCAAGAAAAACACCCTAATTTCTACCTTCTTTGATGAAAAAATTATAGAAGATCAATCATCCGACATTCCACACTTATCCATTCAACCCGCCTCAGCCTCTTATTATCCCTATATTCTCTATTGTTGCATATCCTCACTTTGCCATGATGATGGCGCCATCAACTCTATCGTTGTGTCCGGAAACCTAGTATTAACAGGGTCAAGCACCACCCGCATCCATGCATGGCAGTCACTCGACTGCCATACAAAAGGCTACATAAAAACCACCTCGAGTGATGTCCGAGCCATGGTGGCTCATGGTGACTTGCTCTTCACTTCACATAAAGATCACAAAGTGATGATGTGGAATATGAAAAATTCAAGAGGTGATTTCGAGCCTAGAAAAGTTACATCCCTACCTATTGATATAACTGGCCATTTCAAGAACTACCCTTTTCGTAAGCATGCAATTGCCTTACAACATAAGGACACTATCTTTTGCATGGCCTTTAACCATGTTGAAGGGCTATTATACACTGGCTCATTTGATAGAACTATAAAAGTTTGGAAGTTAAATGATAAAAAATGTGTTGACTCTATTTTAGCTCATAGAGGAAACATCAATGATATGGTAATCAACCAACAAAATGGATATCTTTTCACTTGCTCTTCGGATGAAACGGTCAAAATGTGGTTAAGGGCTTATGGGGAGACGTCGCATACCCTCATCAATTTCCTTAATTATAATACCTCCCCGGTATATGCATTGGCCTTAAGTGTGTCACCATCACATAGAAGTATCTTGTATTTCGGATCTTCTGATGGATGTATAAATTTTTGGGCGGAAGAGAATTCATTTCAGTGTAATCACGGTGGTTTCCTAGAAGGACACCAACTCGGGTATTATGCCTAGTGACTATCGAGGATTTGGTGATCAGTGGATCTGAAGACTCGACGATTAGGATGTGGAGAAGAGGAAAAGGACGAGTTATTATTCATGAGTGTCTTGCTGTTTTAGGACATAAGAGGGCCTGTGAGATGCTTGGCTGCTTGCCTAAGGATAAGGCTATGATGAGTTTTTTGATGTATAGTGCTAGCTTAGATCGAACGTTTAAGGTGTGGAGAGTTAAGTTGTTATGAGAAGTTAAGAAATTCACCGGTAATTCTAGCACTCGAGAGGATGGTATGGAGAATGAAGGAGATTTTAGGGTTTGAGGCAAGCCCTATGATAACTACTTCTAGGGTTAAGAAGCTTCAATGTCGTAATCCTCAATTCTTCACTAGTTAGTTTTATATTGTAAGAAATTCAACACACTGGCGACCTTGAGTTTATCTACTTTTTCAATATAATTTGAATAAGTAATGTGACAGATAAATTTAAAATGAAGTATTGACATTACGTTCAAATCTCATCCTTTATATATTGTTGATTACATGAATATAATTGTGTCACGCTGTCATCTTCGATTAACATGATACAAATGATAATATAATGATATAAACAAAAAGTAATTTTTGATAAAATTTTCCAGTTATTTAATACTTGTAGACCCGCCCACACCCTGCTACCAGGTAAAGAAAAAAGGACTTCGCAACATGGCTTGCCAATGATCCAGCTGACTACTAATCCATCCCTGCGCTGCTCAGAAATGGTTTCATCATTCATGTTCTCTGCTATTATATTAGACGACCCATAACGCAACTCGATCAAACATGAAGCATGAACATAATCTCGTAATAAATGCATTTAAGCAGATGTTCGAGCTCAGAATACATCATACAAATAGAAGCCACAAATTCAATACCTTTGCAGAATTGCAGCCATGAATATGACCAAGTGTCCTACAAATAAGGAAACTGGTTTAAAACGACAGGCGTATATTAGCCAAAAACGAACAATATACACAACTTTAAAAAAAAATTAAAAAAAAAAAAATAAAATAAAATAAAAACACACACACACACACACACAAGGAACCTTAGAACAGAAGAAGATAAACTTTTGGTCACTGATGATCGCATATTTAGTGCATATATCTGTTGACTTTTTATAAATAAAGTGAAACAAATTGCAAAATCTTAAGACAGAAACTAAGTATATACTGATATACAACTTTAGAGCTGTTTAAGAAGTAATTAACTAAACAATTACTTGAGGATTCGGCTATGTTTGGATAACAAAAAATGGAAGGAAAGGAAGGGAAGGGAAAGGGAGGGAGACAAAGTTCCTTGTTTGGATAATATGTTGGGGGAGGGAAGGGGAGGGGGAGGGGGAGGGGGAGGGAGGGATCCATTTTTCCTCCTCCTTTGATAAAGACCATCCCTTCAAAATTGGAGAGATTTGGAGGGAAAATGGAGCTCATCATTTCCTCCACTTTCCCTTCCTTCCCCTTCCTCCTATTTCCCTCCCTTCCATTTCCCTTCTGATTTGTTATCCAAGCATAGCAGTATTCTTTGGAGGGTTGGAATCCTAAATCTTTTCTTCAATATGAGAATGGTGCTTGGTTTCGATCTATAACCTGCAACAGAAAATTATACCTGTGCATATTGGAGAGTGGATCTCCAGAAAAGCAAGTGTGGAGAAGGGTGCAAGGTAACACTTTGTTTGGATAGGAAGAAATGGATGGAAAAGAAGAGAAGAGAAATGGAGGGGGGCAAAATCTCTTGTTTGGATAAAAGATTAGGGGAAGGAAGGGGAAGGAGAGGGAGGGATCCATTTTCCCTCTCTCTATAATAACCATAATCTCTCCAAAATTGGAGAGATTTGGAGGGAAAATGAAGCTCACCTCCCCCTCCCTTTCTTTTCCCTTCCCTTCCTCCATTTTCCCTCCCCTTCTTTTCCTTCCTTCTTTGCTATCCAAACAATGCGTAAATGTTGCCACAATAGCCTTCTAAATCTCCAATAATGGATGCTGCAACACTAATTGCTAACCTCCAGGTCCGCAGACATTATTTTCAGTGTTCTGGATAAGTAAAACAATCCTGGGATTCTTGAAACTCGACTGAAGAGTCACTTCACTTCGTGACTATCTATCCTTTGACAAGAGAATGTGTGGCATCGATCCCCTCTTACGAGGGAAACATGCCCACTGGTGGAGGTCAAAACCTGCCCCAACTTTCCCTCAAGATCATTTGAAAAAAAATACCTAAATCCTTCATTTAAGATACATTTTCCAAAATGGAATATGACAATCCATAACTCAGAAGATCTATCTGAGACACTTTCAAATTGTAAGAAATGTGATTGACCATTTTGGGATGGAGCCTTAAACATAAGGTCCCATCTGAAACCTTACAACATCCTAAAATCTCAAGCTTACATGGTTACACCTGACCATCACTCCTTGAGACACTTTCAAATTGTAAGAAATGTGATTGACCATTTTGGGATGGAGCCTTAAACATAAGGTCCCATTTGAAATCTTACAACATCCTAAAATCTCAAGCTTACATGGTTACACCTGACCACCACTCCTTCGCTGCATTTTTTTAAATCTATTGTCAAGATCAGGAGTGCATATCTTTGTCAAATTAACAGAACCTAAATTGGGGATTACCGTTAAATTTTGCAGTATGGATTCCCTCATCAACTCTCAAAGACTCAAATGAGAGCTACCTTATTTTCCTTTTAGCAATTAGCACTCTCCATCTCAGTGACATTACACCTTAAGCAAACACACAATATCTCCAATCACCTTCCTTAATACTTATTCCATGTAACCCATACATGCTAAAGGGGGAACAAGATCCCATCCACCGTCCACGAGCACAGTGACATAGTCAAATTGTGAAGTTCAAAAACAATTACACCTCCAAAACCAAAGGAAACATCCAGAAAAACAGAACCGTATAAAACTCAAGCTCACTAGTCACTACAATTGACTTAAATACAAAACTAGAACTAGAAATTAACTAACGATCATCTCAACAAAAGCCATCAGAAATTGGTAATTGTGAATTAGAATCATCTTCAATATCTAATACAAACCTGAAAAAGGCACTGTAGATTATCTGTTTTTTGCAGGGGTCTATTTCCTCTAGCAGCCAAAATACTGGCAACAATTTTAGAAAGAAGAACAGAGAAAGGGAAGAGACTAGCTAATTTAAGAAACAATTGAAAACTTCATAAATGGCACACATTGATACATTATAGAAATACAAGGTTATTAGCAGGTAACAATAAATCAGTTTCAGGCTCTTTAAAGAGAGTAAGGCTCTCAATAAATGACTAACCTAGTTGATACTGCAAAGTTTGTAAACAAGCAGCATTTGATAATCTCAAATCCACTTAGAAAATGAAAGAATGAGCTGAGGTTACAAACCATTGATGGAAGATGTTCCTAATCACGGAATGGTGTGAGATCAATCGCAAATTGTTGCTTCCCTTTGCTTACTTTAGCAATAGCGATCAGCTCTTCCAGCAACTCCTCTAAATGCCGAAGAGGCCATTGTGTGGGTCCATCACATGGTGCACTTAATGGATCATCATGGACCTCCATGAAGATTCCATCAACTCCAACTGCAACTGCTGTCCTAGCAATGCACGGAATCAGCTCCCGAAAACCTCCACTAGCAACACCTCCACCATCCAACTTCTTACCAGCAGGTTGTTGTAGTGAATGAGTGATATCAGCTACAACGGGGCAATTAGCTTCTCTCATCCATTCCAAGTTCCGGGGATCCACAATCAAGTCATTGTAACCAAACATAGTCCCTCTCTCACAAACCATCACATTTTGATTGCCAGTACCTCGGACTTTTTCAGCAGAGTTCACCATAACAGTAGGCGCACAAAATTGACCCTTTTTAATATTGATGATTTTCCCTGTTTTGCCAGCTGCAACAAGGAGATCCGTCTGACGGCATAAGAAAGCCGGGATCTGGATAATATCAGCAACTTTACCTACAGCTTCACACTGTTCACTTTCATGCACATCAGTTACTATAGGAAGATCATATGCTACTTTCACTTTCTCAAGGATTTTAAGCCCTTCAGCCATACCAGGACCCCTAAATGATTTAGAAGATGTCCTGTTTGCTTTGTCGAAGCTGGACTTGAAGATCAGAGGCACCCCAAGTTTGGTTGTTATGGCCTTAATGTGCTTAGCCATCTTCATTATGTGCTCTTCTGATTCAATCACATTAGGTCCCGCGATCAAGAAGAATGGCTTTGCTCCCTTAAGTTGGGTATACAGAGCTGCCGAAGAATCCATATTCTCAGCTATTTCCTTCAAATTGATTCCAAACTGCAAATGCAACAGGGTCAAAATTAATCAAATAAGTATGCTTTAATGTGAACGGTTGAAATAATGTCAAGTTAACAATACAATGAAACAAGATCAAAAACTAAAGATAGAAATCAATAATGATCAGCGTTATTCAGTCTTCAAAGTCAATACAACACATTATCATTTGGAAAAATCCCTTCATTGCAACCCCTAGTGATCTGGATTTCTAAGATCATATCTACCGGTCTCTGCCAATAATCGTTCTTGTCCTCTAGGACAATAATAATAATGTACCATTGTACCAACACATGAAGTTTAAACATACCGACAACAGTTATTGATTTAGAATCCCTCTATCTATGATTCTATTCCCCAAACTTCAACCTTGTTACACTGTCAGTATCCTAGAACCAGCCAATTGATAAAGCAAAGATCCATAAAAAATCCGCGCTCTTGGTTTCGTAAAACCATGTAGCCGCTGTGATTTACCTCCATTCCCATAATAATTCAAGGGACAAAAACTGAGTACACATTCAATATCTAAAATTTTCAGATTCCTTAGTCTCCACCGACAATGTATCACAGTGTAAAGCATTTAATCTCAATCAAAAATTCATAGTTTCAGAATAGCAATTGGCTTACTAATACAGTAATACTACAAGTATTAGAATTACAATCTCAATTGAACCAGTTATACTCGATAAAATTACATTAAAATACAAAATTCTAGCAACAAGATCGACCATTATAACCTTTCGAAACTTGAGTATTTATAATCAATAGTTCAATGATTCACTATATAAGAACCCTAAATCAGTAAATCATCAATACTGGCAACAAAATAAATGACACTAGATTGAGAAATAGATATTCGATGATTTTAGGAAAAACATTTTACCTCGGAAGGTGGTTCAATGGAGGAGAGAAAGCTCAGAAGGCGCTTCAATGGAGATCTCAGAATACGGTTCAATGGAGGGGAGGAGAGGAGAGGGAGAACGCAAACGCAGATCTTGGATGATGGAGGAATATTGATACAGCACTCTACAGTTCTAACTCCCGCGCCGAGTGTGACTGTGTGTGTGAGTGGATGAGTGATGCCAAGATTTGACTTTAACCATTAATTTATCTAATTGCATGTTATGGGTAGAGCTGTCAAAAGCTGACCCGACCCGAAATACCGACCCTAACCCAACCTATTAACCAACCCGTCTGAACCCGAAAAAAAATGGTGACCCGAACCCGACCTGAAACTAACCCTTTATCCGAGTATTTGAGACCCGAACCCGAACATTAACCGACCTAGAAACGACCCGACTCGAAAGTAACCCATAAATTATTGACCTGAATCGAACCCGACCTGAACCGAAATTGACCCAAACCCGTTTTAACCCGTCAAAATCCGAATTCAACCCGACATGTTTCTAACCTGACTCGAATTCAACCCGACCTGTTCCTAACCCGACCCAAATTTAACCCGACCTACTACAAGTCTGACTCGAATTTCAACCCGACCTGTTACAAACCCGACCCGAATCAACCCGACCCAAATTCAACCCGACTTGTTATTGAATCAATATGTATAGGTCTTTATCTCATGTTGGTATTGGAACGGAAATTGAATTCTAACTTTATTCCTTTAATATTTCACTTTGACTTTTAAGAGGTTAGTTTCACAATTTTTTAGGGACGAAACATGTTTTCCGCAAATTATTGACTTGAACTGAACCCGACTCGAACCCGAGAATGACCCGACTTGATTATAACCCTCAAATTATTGACTTGAGCCAAACCCGACTTGAACCCGAGAATGACCCGACCTGATTATAACTCGTAAATAATTAACTTGAACCGAACCGACTCGAACCCGAGAACGACCCTAACTCGTTTAAACCCGTAAAGACCCGAATTTAACCCAACCTATTTTTCACCCGATTCGAATGTAACCTGACCTTTTACTAACCCGACCCAAACCCGATAAGATGAATGACCCGACGTGACCTGACTCAAGCATGTCCCAACTCTAACCCGAACCGCATATGTTATGACATTAACCCGTATTGACCCGACTCGCGCTGACCCGACTCACACTAACCCGACCCGTTTATCCGAATTGACTGCTCTAGTTATGGGTAATAAAATTATTGGAAATTTGATATTATAAAAATAAATATAACTAACTTAGGGCTTGTTTACATTTACTGAACTAAGCTGAATTAAACTGAAGTGAACTGAACTGAGCTGAACTGATTTAAGCTGAACTGAACTGATTGGAGCTGAACTGAACTGAGCTGAGTTGAAATAAATATTTTATGAAAGAGGAAAATTAAGAGCTTAACTGAACTAATTGGAGCTGAACTGAACTGAAATAAATATTTTATGAGAGAGGAAAATTAAGAGCTGAACTGAACTGATTGGAGCTGAACTGAACTGAGCTGAGCTGAAATAAATATTTTATGAGAGAGGGAAATTAAGAGCTGAACTGAACTGATTGGAGCTGAACTGAACTGAATTGATTGGAGTTGAACTGAACTAAACTGAAATTAAATTAATTAGGTTAGTTCCCGTGTCATGCACAGTAATTTTCAATAATCATTGTTAAATTATCATTATAATTAGTTTTTATAAATAAAAAAATTCTAAAAATATAGTTGACAAATTTTGAGAAAAATAAAGGATTACGAAAGATATGTTAGATACTAATTGAGGTAGAAAATGAGCAAAATTATGTTAAAAATGTGTTTTTATAGCTAAATAAACATTTGTGTTAAAAATATGTCAAACCGTTTTAATTTTAAGTTATTTTATTGTGTAAGGTTAGGGAATTTTTGTAAATATGATTTGTTTCTTTAATTGAAATTTATTAATATAAAAAAAAAAAAAAAAACACTTAAGGATACACCAGAAAATGACACGTGTCATTGCTGGTGTGTCTTCTAATATATAACTAGCCTTCTGGCCCGTGTAATGCACGAGTTATGCATATAAAATTGTATTGAGAGATAAGTGAGGAAATATCAGTAAGTCATTCTAGGGTATAATATGTAATCGAAAAAATTGTATTGATAGATAAGTGAGGAAATATCAATAAGTCATTATAGGATATAATATGTAATCGAAAACATGATTAAATAAAGAAATTAAAATTTTGGAACTTTAATCGAAAAAAAGGCTTAAATATAAGGTGGAAGGGCTAAAATTAGAGAGAGAATAGGAAAATGTTGAATTAAAGGGAAGAGATGAAGTGTGTATGAAAGATGAACTATAAGTTTAATGAAAGAATTAAAAAAAATGGTGTAATAAAAAAATTAATAGTGTAAGATGACATGTGGCACTATGGTTAGAGAAGTGTAATAGAATGGATGGGGACATGTGTCTTTCTTAGTATCTTGGTTATAGTTTTTAAATACTAAGTATAGATACTAAGTATAGAGATAGATTATTAATTGATATAAACATTTGTGTTAAAAATATGTCAAACCTTTTTTATTTTAAGTCATAATATTGTGTAAGGTTAGGGGATTTTTGTAAATAAGATTTGTGTTTTTAATTGAAATTTATTATTAAAAAAAAAAAAACAAAAAACTTAAGGACACACCAGAAAAGGACACGTGTCTTTGCTGGCGTGTCTTTTAATATATATAGTTATCGACTATTTCACCAAATGCCACTGAGTACTTAAAAAATTTACCAAATGCCATCAAGGTTTTCAAAATTCACCAAACGTCATCGAGCTTTTAAAAAATTCACCAAATGTCATTAATGACTAGCGGCCGTTAACTCCGTTAGTCATTAAGATTAAATCTTGACACGTGTCATAATATGATTGGTTCATTTTAATTACTTATTTTAATTAATAAAAATGATATTTTTTTCTTCATTTTCGTGGCAAAAATTACTCGGGTATAGTTTTGGGGGTCATTTTGATCCTATATGTACACAAATTAAGCTCGGAATTGACAAAAAAATAACATAAATGCTCCGTTTTGTGTGTTGAAAAATATTTTGATTAGCGTGTCGTTATTTTTTAACCATCAAAATTGATCGGGTAAGGTTTTGGAGGTCATTTTGACCCTTTATGGATACAAATTAAGCTCAAAATTGACAAAAAAAAACGTAAATGCTCTGTTCTGTATGTTGAAAAATATTTCGATTAGCGTGTCATTATTTTTTAACTATCAAAATTAATCAGGTAAGGTTTTGGGGGTCATTTTGATCCTTTATGATAACAAATTAAACTCGGAATTAACTAAAAAATAACATATATGCCCCGTTTTGTATGTCGATATCGTAATTTTTTTTGGGAAAAAAAAATGCAAAACAAGGTTTTTTTTTTTTTTTTTTTTTTTTTTTTTTTTTTGTGTGTGTGTGTGCCAATTTCAAGTTTAATGTGTATTCATAAAGGGTCAAAATGACCCCCAAAACCTTACTCGAACAATATTTGTCACGAAAATCTAAAAAAAGTAAATAATTATTGTGTATTAATTTTAAAAAATAATGCATTTGGTGAAATAATTTTTCAAAGTAATGACATTTGGTGAAATAAGAATTGCATTAACGGAAAACTATCGTCCATATGCTATTAGTGGCACGAGGTGTCATTGTATTGTTTGTCAGTGACATTTGGTTAATTTTGAAAACTTTGATGACATTTGGTGAATTTTTTAAGTACTCAGTAGCATTTGTGAAATAGCCGTATAGTTATTGATGTGAACAGACCCTAGTTCAGCTCCTAATTTCCATTTCTCATAAAATATTCATTTTCGTATTAACATTTTGAAGTGGATAGACCCGAATTCAGGTGATCCATCAAAAAGCGGGTAATTGAAATCGGCGGATTTGCCCGTTAAACCTCTATTTTGTCGCTCTAAAAATGTCCCAATTCTCACTTGCTGGAAATACACTATAAACCCTAGGTAAAACCCTAAATCCCCAAAAACTCTTCTCCTCCATAAATTTCTACAATTAACTCTTCAAATCGTTCAATCTCGCTGTTTCAATTTGCTAGCAATTTGGTGCAAGTGATAAGCAAAGAGCGAAAGCAGTGTCAAAGAAGAAGGCGCAAAAAGTGAGGAGAGAGAAAAAAAAAATGGAGGTTGATAGGGAAGATGGGCGTACGCCAACTATGTTGAGACCTTTGGCTTGTTCTAGAACTGTCCTTAATCGTGCTCATGGTTCTGCTAGTTGGTCCCAAGGTAATTTCTTTTGAATCTTTCTGGGTATTTTTTTTCCTTAAATTTGAGTATTGTTTTATGTTTTTGATTCATTAATTGTTGATATTTTGGGTTAATGATGAGAAGGGTTTTGATACTCCCTCCGTCCGGAATTAATAGTCACATTGATAGTGTAATTTGAACTAGTAGCGTGACGCTGATTGAGAGGGTATTTGATGATTATTTCTGTCAATTTTGCAATGTGGTTGTCTTGAATGGATTTTGATAGTGGGCCATTTTTGTTGGGTTTGCTATTTTCTCAAAAAAGACAATTTCTTCATGCATTGTTTGATATCAATTAAAAATTGTTTTTCCTTATTGTCTTCAATGATGAGTGCTTCTTACATTCTGTAATGCTTGAACTTGCTGCATAAATGCTGTATTCAATAGGAAGATCGCAGAATGTGGGCCGAGATCACTTGTTTTACTTTGTGATTTAATGGTCTGTGTGAAGGATCAATATCCAAGCTCAAATGCCCATTAGAACTTGGAAGTGCTAAACTCGTGTTTCACCTTGTAAAGCAGACAAAATTGTTGAGTTTGGATATTGTTTTTGTTTCGAAGTCTGAATAATGCCTTCTTCTAATGTAATTGCACAAAGGTTGAGATTTTTGAAGATGGGTTCACTTATTATGTTGGATACGATGTTATTCAAATGTGTAATTTCGTATATTTTGTTTTATAGGAGATACCAAAGTGTTAGCTGCAGTTTATGGACCAAAGGCTGGGACTAAGAAGAATGAAAATCCAGAGAAGGCTTCAATTGAAGTTATTTGGAAGCCCAAAACAGGACAAATTGGTAAGGTTAGCTTAATATTGTATAACATCCATGCTCCTGCTTACTTGTTAAACCTCGTGAATCTGATTTGGTGTCGAGTACGCGTTCATAAAATTCATGATATGTGCATATGACAATGTTTATCATTTTTATTAAATGTCTCTTCTTGTTAATGATTACTTCCATTTGCCACATACAGCTGATGAATTTTTAGAAAAGTTAAAAATTCGAATCTGTTGCAATGCCTTTCCTAAATTGTGGTTTTAGGGAAATGATCAGCTTATATATGAATGATTTTTAGACAAATTTATTTGTATGAGGATAATGAATTTGCCGAATGTTGAATTCTTATCTGATTTCGTTGACTGTTCCTTGATAGTTATTCGTGACATCCCTCTGGACTTGCATATTTAATTGATTTGAATCTTGTTCTCACCTAGA